TGAATATATACAAGCGAATTGGTGGTGGAATCAAGAGGTAAAGCGATAGTTGAGGCTTGAACGGTGTTCGTGGCATCGAGGTAAGTGTTTGGTCTAACCTTAGCTTGAGGGAATAGGAGTTTGGTCTTATATGCTATGTGTTATGTTTAGAGTACGACGTATAGGCATGATGACGAGTATCTATACGTTGGTGTCAAGCATGCCCGTCAGTCTTGTGTTGTGATTTATGTGACTCCGTTGTATTGTTTATGTTTAATGTGGTTATTGTTATTGTTGAGCGAGGTTTGTGAAAAGATTATTAGTATTCGTATATTGACGAGCATTAGCTCAAGTTGCAAAGTGATTTGTGAAAGTATAATTCACAATTGAACTTTATAGAGTATTGGCTCAAATTGTGAAGCAAGTTGTGAGATAAATGTGAAAATGAGAAGAGGTTTTTGGTGGTGATCCCTTGCCGGGACGTGGTTGCTTTTAATGTTATTCCCTTGCCAGAATGTTTAGGTTTTGATATTGTTCCCTTGCCGGGATTTTTATTATGATTCATTTATTCCTTGCCCTTATTATTTGTGTTTGTGTTCGTTGTTTGGGTGAGGAAGCGTGTAAAGCACAAAGGGTGATTCCATGCATTGTTTTGGTGAGAGAGTGTTAATGCACGAAGGGTGATGCCCTGCATTATTTTGTGAGGAAGAGTGTAGAGCACGAAGGGTGATGTCGTGCCGCACGATGTACCATTCCATGCCGATTATATTGATTCTATGGTAAGGATGAGACTAAAAGCACGAAGGGTGATGCCGTGCAGTTTATATTGATTTTTGGTGAGGACGACAGTAAAAGCACGAAGGGTGATGTCGTGCACTTGTTTGGCTTTCGATTCTTGTGTATAATTGAATTGTGGTGTTCCATATATTTAACTGTTGTCTTTCTCTTGCTATGTGATATTCCCCCACAGCATGTTCCCTCCTCCCAACCTTGACTGTATATTTTTGCTTCTATTTTCCACTGTCCATTATTTATCTACACAGGTTTATTTGGTAGTCTGGTCCTAGCCTCATCACTACTTCATCGAGGTTAGGCTAGGCACTTAACATCACGACTCCCGAGGGCGGGAAATCCGGGTTGTGACAAGTTGGTATCAGAGCTCTAGCTTACATAGGTCTCACAATTCACAGACAAGCTTAGTAGAGTCTGAGGGTTCAGTACGGAGACGTTTGTATTTACCCCCCAGAGGCAACAAAGTTTGGAAAAACTTCATATCTATTCTTTCCTGTCGTGCGGTTTGGTTTCTCAATGCTAATCGAATTTCTACTTTTTTCTTTCGCAGATGCCGAGAACACGCGCTTCCTCATCCGCTGATCAGCAGCCCGAGCCCCCAACATCAACTCCCACGAGGGGCAGAGGCCAAGGCCATGCTAGAGGCTGAGGTAGGGGTAGAGCTCAGCCCGGAGCAGCAGCACCAGTGGCGGAGCCTTAGGTTGATTTTGATGAGGAGGTTCCAGCCTAGCTCAGGTCCCAGAGGGGTTCATTGCTACCCAAGTACTTCAGGATGCTCTGGTCTGTCTAGTGGGCCTCATGGAGAGTGTCACTCAGGCAGGCTTGCTTCCAGTAGCACCAGCCGTCTCTCAGGCTGGAGGAGGGGCCCGGACTCCTGCTACTCGCACTCCGGAGCAGGTGGCTCCCCAGTTTCAGACTCCGGTCGCTCAGCCAGTTGGAGCAGTTCAGCCGGGTGTGGTAGCCCAGACCGGTGATGGAGCAGCTATGACTGCCGATTACCTGTGGAGATTGGATAGGTTTACTAAGCTCTTTACTGCCACTTTTAGCGGTGCATCTTCTGAGGATCCCCAGGATTATCTAGACAGCTGTCACGAGGTTCTCAGAGACATGGGGATAGTAGAGACAAATGGGGTCGATTTTGCTACTTTTCATTTATCTGGATCTGCCAAGACTTGGTGGAGAGATTACTGTTTGGCTAGACCAGTCGGATCACCAGCTTTGACTTGGGAGCAGTTTACTCAGCTGTTCTTGGAGAAGTTTCTCCCTGTTACTCAGAAAGAGATCTATCGGAGGCAGTTTAAGTGCCTCCAGCAGGGTTCCATGACTGTTACTCAGTACGAGACCAGGTTTATCGAGTTGGCCCGTCATGCTCTACTTATACTTCCCACTGAGAGAGAGAGTGAGGAGGTTCATTGAGGGACTTATCCAGCCCATTCGACTTCAGATGGCTAAGGAGACGGGGAGTGAGATTTCTTTTTAGGAGGCGGCCAGTGTGGCCAGGAGGGTTGAGATGGTTTTATCATAGGGAGGTGGTCAGGGGTCTGACAAGAGGCCTCATCATTCAGGCAGATTCAGTGGCGCCTCGTCTAGAGGCAGGGATTCGTATGGTAGAGGCCATCCTCCTAGGCCTTTCCAGTCAGCACTTCAGGTTTCTCACGGTGCTTCAGGTGGTCGTGGTTCTCACATGCAGTATTCTGATCAGCAGTCCTACAGCGCACCACCAGCTCCTATCAGTGCACCGCGCTCCAGAGTTTTCGGGGTGGCCATTCAGGTCGTCAGGGTCAACAGCCGGGGACTTGTTACACTTGTGGTGATACGGATCACATTGCTAGATTTTATCCTCGATCATCGGGAAGCTCACAACACCTGGGTTCCCGTGCCATGGTTCCGGCACCGAGTGTTCCACAGCCCGCCCAGCCAGCCAGAGGTGGGGTTAGAGGTACTAGAGTTAGAGGTAGAGGTGCTAGAGGTGGAGCTCAGGCCGCTAGGGGTGGAGGCCAGCCAGCAGCAGGCCTTCCTAGAGATGTAGTCTAGGGTGGTAGGGCCCAGCCCCAATTTTACGCTCTTCTAGCCAGGCCAGAGGCTGAGGCTTCCGATGCAGTTATCACAGGTATGGTTCTGGTTTGTAGTAAGGATGCTTCAGTGCTATTTGATCCTGGATCTACATACTCCTATGGTTTGTAGTAGTTATCACATGCTTATTATGTCTTGTTGTTTAGTTAAGGTTTCATTGTGAAGTTAATTGTTGGTACAAGTTTGGTTATAGCTGATTCCCTTGCCGGGACATATTTAATTCTTACTGTTGGTTCCCTTGCCAGGAAGTGTTTATTCTTGTTGTTGACTCCCTTGCCGGGATATTGTTGTTTCCTTATTATTCCCTTGCCGGGATTCTTTTGTGATTGGTGTTGGTTTGTATATTGGGATCGGGTTGCATGCCGCAATAATATTATATGGGATCGGGTTGCACGCCGCAATAATATTATACGATTTGGATCGGGTTGCACGCCGCAACAATATTATATGATTTTGATTGGGTTGCACGCCGCAACAATATTATATGATTTGGATCGGGTTGCACGCCGCAACAATATTATATGATTTGGATCGGGTTGCACGCCGCAACAGTACTATATGATTGGGATCGGGTTGCACGCCGCAACAAGGAAGAGTAAAAGTGAATATTGATTCTTATGGTGAGAATGAGAGTAAAAGCACGAAGGGTGATGCCGTGCACTTTCTGCTGTTGTGTTTATATGTTATTATCAATAATTCAAGTTTTTAAACCGTTTAATTTCCTTTATTGTTGTGATCCTTTGTGTTAGAACCTGCAGTGTTTTCAATAACTCACCGTGTTTATATATATATATATATATATATATATATACACACACACACACATTACAATACTTCAAACTTCAATAATTGTTACATCCCTAATTCAATTAGTTTCTCAATTATATTCCCTTGAAATCGTCCGAGGTTGCATTTTTCTTAAAAAGGAATTTCTACTAAGTTAATTTATTAAATCCCTTGTTAAAGGTAATAATTCATTTGATGTGGTATTTTAAATTGAAAATGGTGCTTTCTTTATTCAAATAATTTCTAAAAATAACTTCATTTTTTCTTGCTGAGTTCCTAATTGGTTTAGAAGTTGCACTCTACTTTATGTTATGTAAATGAGACCCCTGGAACATCTTCATTGCATTAGTTATGGGTCCTATGTACTGAGTAACATGAGAACGTTGTTGTACAAAGTGAGGCAAAATATGTGGGCACAAGGTGCCGGGTGTGCTAAAGGCTTGAAAGTTGAGGTTATGATATGAGACATCGAGTTCTGAGATGGCTGGGGTTGTGCACCAGAAACGATATGATTGATTGAGTTGACACTATTTTCCTTACTTAAGTTCGTTCTACTTCTCTGTGTTCCAGCTATGTTTGTGTTGATTTATTTGGTTATCTTTCGTTTCCATCCGAGTTTCCTTTTTATTATTTCGACTGTTTGTAGATTGATTTATCCCTGCTGTTGATATTATTTCGTTACCTTTATCTTGATAAATGTTATCATGTCCTGTTTAATCTGTCTGATCAGTAGGTGTCTTGGCTGTTGCTCGTCACTACCCCGCCGAGGTTAGTCTTGGTACTTACTAGGCACCGTCGTGGTGTCTCATACTACACTTCTGTATATTTTTGTGTACAGATCCAGGAATTGATCGATAGTAGCTGTGCAGATCGTCGTGGTGGAGACTCAAGGTAACCTGCTGCTGCGTTCGCAGGCCTCGGAGTCACCTTCGGTTGTATTTACGTTCCATTGATTCCTTCTTATTCTGGAACAGTGTTGTATTTAATTTGCGTAATTACTCTTAGAAAGGCTTATGACTTGTACCACCGGTTTTTGGGAATTGTAATTTGTCTGAGTACAACAACAACAATCCAGTAAAATCTCACTCAGTGGGGTCTGGGGAGGGTAAAGTTAGTAAATATCCATGTTATTACTGAAAATGGTAGGCTTACCTAGTTTAGAGACTAGGTGACATCACGACTCCTTTGGAGGGATTTTTGGGTCGTGACAATTATCCATTTTTCTTGAGATATAACTGATAGTTAAACTCCAACCAAGCCTTGCGAGCTTCATCAATAGGCATCCCCAAAAATATTTGTCGGTTATTTTTCTTGCGGAACATATTCATAGTGAAACTGTAAATTTTACTCCCAACTAGAATATTAGAAATTTATTCCAACGTGCCAATACACTTCTCGATGGATGCCTCATCAACTGCAAGAGATGTAGCAGTGCTTTTGCTAGACATAAACTCTATGAGAGAGTGAATATCCTCTTTTATTAATGTTGCAGCTGTTTTTTTTCTTACTCTTTCTTACTTGACTGCTAGTGCTAACACCATCAGTTGATTTTTGTCTTTTTAGTGATGGCTCTGGAACAGAATTTATATTTTGTAGATCATCACTTTCATCGCTCATTTCATCATTAAGAAAAGTAAAGTGTTCTTTTTCACAACCATCAATATCATTTATTCCCTCTTCGTCAAGATTTAGTCCAATGCCGGACGATTGTTCTGGGTTTGCTGCACGTGCTCTTTCTCCTGTGGCAACAACATCAGCAAATAATGTGTCGTAGCAAAACCATATGAGCGAAAGATCTTTGTTCCTAAATTTTTTATATCGAGCATTCTCCTGTAAATAAATTCAAAGCCACTTTAAGCTAAAAAAGAAATTTAGCAATAAAAAAGAAAAAGAACGACACATGTAGCAATATGAGAGATGCACCTTAATTTTTTGGTCCCACCAATCATCATCTGCTATAATTGTATTTTTTGTGGCATCCCATCCTAAACATGTCTCTCCTTTCATCAACTGCTTAAAAAGTGTCCATTCGGCTTTCATGTAATCCCAATGATTTTTCAATTGTTTTTTATTATACACTCTTCCCATCTTCTTTTCGAACTCATTAATTATATTTTTCCACCCATCTTTAGATAAGTAAGTATTTGGTCTATTTTCATTTCTAATCTCTTGCTTACACAACTCAATAAATATAATATGAACCTCATCGTCCCACTTAGCGTTACTTTCCGTCATGATTGAATATAAATAATCTGAAGAAAGGAGAAACAAATATCTAATTAAAGTAGAAGAAAATTCCTCATTAGTTAGAGTGACTAATGGAATATCCAATATATCCAATAGGCTCTATTTACAATATTTAATTCTAAACTCCTCAATAATAGGTTTTCTTATATGTTTTCCATTCACAGAAACAAAAAATCTCTTGGCATTAGTTGCTCCATTCACAAAAACAAAAAAATCTCTTGGCATTCACAGAAATCTAAATATTTTCCATTCGATAATTTTTAGTGATTAATAGAAATAAAGGAATAATAACTACAACCTCCATCTAATTGTCTTTTAAAAGTTAATTATTACTTTATTCCCACATATGAAAAAAATTAAAAAAGAAAAGGTATTTAACATATTTAGCAGGTTCAACAACTATGTGCAATGTACCCCTTCTTTTACTCCTGTTAAAGATTTCAGAACATGGGCATCGCCGTAAGCCAAAATTTTAAATCAATTTCTGCCGTTTTCAATGTTGAAAATGAGACTATCGTAAATATACCGTCTAGCTAAAAATCACTTAATTATAAAAATTTTACAATCTTCTATAACAATAGTAGAAAATCAACTATGAGATATAATTGTCTATTTCCTAAGCTGTTCAAACTCAGAAACAAGGACGCATGAAACTCAAGTTCCACAGAGCAGGAAAAAAAATCAACTGGAATACTACTATGACTTGATGCATTAATCTGACATAAAAAAAATTCATTTTGTAGAAGAATTCAAACAAAAATATACAATGAGGATCGAGAAGAACTTACAATGACAATTGATTTCCACCGAATTTCTTGAAGCGCAGAAAATGAAAGATGAAGGAGAGATGAAGAGGAAAGGAGGAACGACAGTCTTCAAAGTGAAGAAAATAGGAGAAATACAATGTTTTAGGGTTTCTTTGACTGAGGGTAATTTTGGTATTACAAAAATTTATAAGGGACAAGAGAGTAATTTTTTTGGTCAAACTAAAATGGCTTTAAGCCAAAATCGAAAAAGTTGGGGTCAGCCAACTTGTTGCTTTTGTCTTTTTTTTAAGCACTTTTTAACTTTTTTTAAGCAGCTTTTTTTTTTGCCAAACACTCCAAAAATTAAAAAAAGTGCTTAAAAGCTGGTTTGACCAGCTTTTAAGCCCATCCAAACACCCTCAAAAGCAATGAAGGCTATAGTCGAACGACAGCTCATTTTTTGATTGAACAATGAGAAGAAGAAAAAAAACTGAACTAGAACTAGAACCAAGGGTGACTCAAGGGGTAGGCTAGTAAAGCATTTTCTTTAGGCCCCTAAGTTTTGGGGTCCCAAAAATATTTTTAATTATGAATTTTCTATCTTATTTTTGCTTAGACAATATTGAAGTTTATACAAACTCTTTATAAAAGTAGAAATAAGGACTGTCTATTTTTTAACAATAGAAATATTTTAGAATTTTGAATTAAGATGCTCAAATCTTCATATTGGTAAACAATATTTTTATAATAAGATCCATGGTAACACATTGTAAATACATGGCTAACATCTTAGCAACTTGAATTTTCTTACAAATATAAATACTAGTTCTACGTATTATATTTTGTAAGATAACTAAATTACAGACAAAAAGAAAGGAAAAAACCAAAGCAAATATTTGTATTACATTTTGTAAGATAACTACAATATAAATAAAACAAAAAAAGAAAATAAATGGCCCCTTATTAAAATTTAGCTTTAGGCTACGAATTTTATTGAGACGTCCTTGACTAGAACTAGAAAAAACTATTGGATTATGTTTGCAGAAACTAGAACTAGAAAAAGGAAAAACAAAAAAAAAAGGAAAATACTACTAATGGCTGTGTTTCTGCCTATGTTGCGCGAGCAATGATTTAGTTTTGAACTTTGAATGGCACCAGCCACAATTGAACTTGAAGTTGCGGTGAACTTGTTTGTTATGAGCTTTAAATCCACTTTTGGTGTGCAACTCTTTGTTGAATTTAAAACAATAGCTAGGCATCTTTTTTTTGAAATTGAATGAAACGGGTTGCCACCTTTTATAAAGGAAGGCGGGCAGGAGGTATTTACTATTAGGGGTCGTTTGGTATGGTGTATAAGAATAATGCGGAATAAGATTGTATTAGTAATGCAGGGATTAGTAATGCAAGCATTATAAGTTATGCAGATATTACTTCGTATCTACTGTTTGGTGTGGTGTATTAAAATTATAGTGCATTGCATAATTTTAAGAAAAATAATTGTTTACAAAAATGCCCTCCATATTCTCTAGCTTTAAGGGACTTTAAGGACAATTTTGTCTTCAATTATGCAAATGCATGCATTAATACCCTTGGTATTACTAGTGTCATGGTTTTCAATCCATTACTTATACACAGGTTAATACCAAGTATGATGTATAACCAATACAAGCATTAGTTATACACAGGTTGAGAAAATGTACCAGACAAGGTATTAGTAATGCACAGAGCTAATGATTGCATTATTTTTTCAAATACCTCCTGCCAAACGACCCGTTAGTGGCGAAACCACATGTGATCAGCTATGTTTGAAAAATTGCATTGTATACAATATTACATTTTAGAGGCTGAGGCGAGTCCAGGATTTCAAAAGGATGGTGTGCATGTAAAGAGGTGGATCTAGAATTAAGTATTTAACTTTAGTGAGATTTGGACATAAGAATTATAAAATTCCAAAAAAAAAAGTGAATTTTTTTTCAAGTGAAAATGGTATTTGAAAATTAGAGTTGTGTTTGGATATGAATATAATTTTGAGTTGTTTTTGAATTTTTGTGAGTGATTTGAATGAATTTTGAAAAACAACTTTTTGAAGTTTTTCAAATTTTCGAAAAATTTCAAAATTAATCTTTAAGTGAAAATTGAAAATTTTATGGCCAAACACTAATTTCGAAAAAAAATAAAATAAAAAATCAAAAAAAATGAAAAAATTCTTATGTCCAAACGGGCTCTTAGTCTACTATGAACTCACTACACTTTTAAAACTATAAGTTCAAAATTATACTCTTTTTAATTTTTTAGTGATTTTCACATATATATATATCTCTGCTCAGTGCAGAAAATAAGACCGTCCAAAGTAGGATTTGAACCGCCAATTTTACTCGTAGAGGTGCACCCAATAATTATTGCATTATAGGAGTGTTTGGGCATGGGTGCACGCACATATATTTAGTAATTTTGAAAAACTATAATATTATTATACATGGTATAGGGAGAGGAGTATGGGTTCACATGAAACCATACCCTAAGGCCTAGATATGCCCCTATTTAGAGGTACATAAGACATATTGTTGTCGGAATCATTTTACTTATTTTAAATTTGAACACCTTTGAGTTAATTTTTATATTTGCATTATAACTAAGAGGATTTTTTCCATTATATACGAAATTTTAAATTTATTTACCCGACTTTAGCTAGGTTTTTCTATATACAAAGTTTTTACAAAATATATATAAATCCGATCAAAAACTATAATTTGTATATAATTTAAATATAATTTTTTGCTGCACAAAATCCGATCAAAAGCTACAACTTATATATTTTTTGCACAGAATCCGATCAAAAAATTAATTTACATATAACTTATATACAAATATATAAGTTGTATATATTTTATATATTGTTTGTACACCCGACATACAAAATATATAGTACAACTTATTTATGTCTTCGGTAACGATCCGATCGGTTGTTTCGCTTTTTAGATCCTCGTTCTCCTAAATAATACTCCATGTATGGGCTTTTACTATTTTATGACTCGCGGGGATGGTTCGTTCGGGTTCTGAAGGGTGTGGGTTGAAATCGGAACACTTAGTTTCTTAAAAAATTGGCTTTAAAAGGTTAAGTTTGACTTGGGTCAATATTTCTAGTAAACGCTTCGGAATCGGGATTTGACAGTCCCAATAGGTTCATATGATGATTTTGAACTTGGGCGTATGTTTGGATCGGGTTTTGAATAACCTAGGAGCATTTCAGCGCTTAATATTGCATGTTGGCTCATTGAAGGTTTTAAAGTTCTTTAAATTTGGTTTGGAGTAGGTTTTGGTGTTATCGAGGTCCGTTTGAGATTTTGAGCATGCGAATAGTTCCGTATGGTGATTTAAGACTTGCACGCAAAATTTGGTGTCATTCTGAGTAGTTTAAGTATGATTCGGCGCGTTCGGAGTAAGTTGGAAGAACTTGAAGTTCATAAGTTGAATCGAATTGGTTTGGTGTGATTCTTCATTTTGATGTTGTTTTATGAGTTTTGAGGGTTCGAGCGAGTTTGTTTTATGATTACAAACTTGTTGGTATGCTTGGGTGAGGCCCCGGGGGCCTTGGGTTCCATTCGGACGATGCGCGAAAGTCGTTTGGACTTGGAAGGATTGGCTGATCAGGCTTCTGGTGCAATCGCACCTGCGGAGGGCTAGATGCAGGTGCGAGCTCGCAGAAGTGAACCAAGGGCCGCAGAAGCGCAAGGGAGTTTACTGTCTTGTGGTCGCAGAAGCGGGGAATGGACCGCCTGCATCTGCGAAGGCGCAGATGCGGGAATTTTATCGCAGAAGCAGCCTGAGACTGTGGCATGTATACCGCAAAAGTGGAGGGTGTTTCGCAGGAGCGGACACACTTCTGCGAGGAAAGGATCGCAGGTGCGATATGTGGCTGGCCAAGCCAGGACCGCAGATGCGACGTAGCTTCCGTAGAAGCGGGAGACCATCCGTAGAAGCGAAATTACTTAAGGCAGTGAGGTTGTTTAAGACGGACTTAGACCATTGTTTTGACTCATTTCTTTCATCCCTTAGGCAATTTTGGAGCTTTTGGAAAGGGAATTTCACCTAGCT